ACGACTGTTCACCCCCCAACGTCCCCACCCTATCATCATCATCATCATCATCATCACCACCAATCTACCCGTGCCCTACCTACCACGCTACCACCCAATCAAATAGTAGATAGGATCGCCCCGCCCTCGATTTACATCGAAATTCATTTTATTCATTTCTAGAATCCATTTTATATTCTTTTTTTTTTTTACATTCGAAAATACTCATTTCTTTCTCAAACGTGTTTTCTTTTTCGAAAATTTCGAAATACATAGGATTTAACCATTTCTTTCTCAGCATTTCTTCTTCGAACTTTGAAAACAAATTTAATTCGTTCTTTTTCGATATTTTGTAATTCGAAAATATTTTAGAATTAATCGAACTCTTTTTCGACATTTCTTTTTTTTCAACATTTCTTTTTCAACATTTCTTTTTCAACATTTCTTTTTCAAAACATGTCTACTTTTTTTTTTTTTTTTTTTCCCGAAAATTTTGAAAATACGTTAGAATAAATTAAATTCTTTTTCGATATTTCTTTTGGAAATTCAAAAATAATTCTAATTAATTCTTTTTCCCAGTATTTTAATTCACAATTTCTTTTCGCAATCTTTGTTGAAATTCGAAACTCTTTTTACAATTCGAAAGTACTTTTCTCTTAAAAATGYTATTCTAAACCCCTCAATTAATTTCGACTACATTCAATTAATTCACGACTGAATTAATCTCTTTATTCGAAATTAATTATCCTTTTTCTGAAATGTCGACATTTTCCTTTTTGAAAAATTCTTGCCAAATATTTTAAAATTTTCCTCTTCCAAATTTTTTTTTTTTTTTTACGAATTTTATTTATTTATTCATTTTTCACGTTTTCTTGTAAATAAATTTAAATCTAAATCAGAATTTATTTTTTCGAAATTAATTAACTCTTTCTGTTCAGCATTTATTTTTGAAAAAACTTGCGGATTATCTTTATTTTTGAATTTATTAATAAATAAATAAGGGATTCCCCCCCCACCCTCCACATGCCACCAAGCCAAACTAAGAACTCCCAACGTGCCGCCGCCGACGCCGCCGCTGCTACCGCCGCCACCGCTGCTGCGGCATCCTCGACACCCGTTCAGGCCACGTCCTCCACCCCCTCTTCCCCTGACATGGCCGCATCCTCCATCAACATGTCTGACATCCGCACCGACTAAGTTGATAGCATCGCCCGCAACCTCGCAGGCGAACAACCACCAGCAAACACCGCCACC